GAACTTGATAAGAACCAGTTCTTTGAAAAAGAGCACTGAGCCTTTGGCATAGCTCATTAAAGAAAAAAAAATGTGAGAGAAACAAATAAATTATATTAAAAGAGATGAAAGAAGGAGGGGGAGAAAGTTAGAGGGAAAGAGGCAAAGCAAAGGAGGAAGGGAGAGAGAAGGAAAAGGAAGGAGTAAGAACAGGAGTGAGGAGAGACAGGAGGAGGTGGGAGGGAAACAGGAAGAGTAGAAAGAGGTGAAGTTGGAGAGATGTGGAGTGGACTGTGGACAGGGAAGATCATTCAGGTTCTCACAGATCTTTACAAAGATGTTTCTCCTTCATCCTCTCCCTCATTCTTCCCCAGCAGAAACAGAAACACCATGAGGGCAGGGATTCTTGTTTATGTTTTCATTGCTGCATTTCCAGAGCCTACATGAAAGTATAGTTTTAAACAAACAAAAGAAACCAGGTTGGTTGGGTGAATTAATAGGTGAAAATGAAAATAAACTTGGGTTTTTTTTAAATTAAGCTCTGGTGCCCCAGTGGCGAGAAGCTGCACTGCAGTTCTGAAGGCACATGGTTTGATACCACCAGGTGCTCCGCAGGAGAAGGATGGGAAATCTCCTCCCATGCAATTAAGTACCTCTGAAAACCCCACTGGAAGGTCAGCTATGAGTCGGTTCCAACTCTATGGTACACAACAACAATATGCTGATGTCAAAGAAGCCAGCTGCGAAGCTACATCTTCCATGAGAGAATGATAATCCAAGTGCAGCGAGCTGGGGTCTGACCTCAGTGAATTCACTGAAAATGGAAAACCCCAGTGAATTCTTAGAGCTGTCAAAAGGACATGTTGAGGAGGGTACAGAGGGGGAAAGAAGGGTCTTTAGTGGGGGTAGGACAGTAGTAAGGAAAACTGCATACTGAGAATTCTTTTAGATCTGTCAGCAGTAACCATCTCTTACCACTGAAGATCGCTTCTGAGCTATTTATCACATGGTCATGCAAGTTATAAATGCCAACACAACACGAAGATGTGAAAAAGAGACCTACAGATGGAAATGTTGGCGCGACAATACCAGTTTTAAAGATATAAATATGTTGTTATATTGCTATTTATTCTCTTGGACAAGTGTACGAAAACAAAATAGGAAAAAGCCAGTTGTTGTAGTGTCAATTCTAACCCTTGGTGACCTCCAACTCAAGGCTCAGCCCCCAAGTGGGTCAGACTCGAACTGTGCTTCATGGGCTTTTCAACCACTGAAGCTTTGGAAGTAGATCCCAAGCCTGTCTTCTAAGGTGTCACTAGGTGGGTTCCAACTGCCAACCCTTTGGGTAAGTAGCCAAGTGTTGCTAAGGGAGTTCTGAAATCATGCTTCCCAAACCCACTGCTATTCAGTCAACTGCAATTCACAGAAAAACTCTGGGGCAGGGTAGAAATGCCCAGAGTGTTTCCAAGATTCTAAATGTATCAATCTTAGCAAAAACAGACGCCCACATCTTTGTCCTTCAAAGCAGTTGATTAGATTCCAACTCCAGATCTTTCAGTTAGCAGTACAGTGCTTTAAACACTGTGCCAACATGCCACCATGGCACAGTGCACAGGTGAAATACACCGAAATCAGTGTTCTTGTTGTGTATCATCAAACCAAAACCGACTCATAGCTGACACTCCAGAGGGTTTTCAGAGACTATAAATCACACAGGAGGAGGTGGCCCATCTCTCTATCCCAGAGCAACTGATGGATTCCAACCATGTGCCTTTGCACAGGCAGTGCAACTCCTTACCACGAGGCCACCAGAGTATTTGATACTAAATTTCCTCACCAAATGTACTGTTGTTCCCCACAGTAAACTTAACCACAGGGAGCTACGCAGATGCCACAAACGTAGATTGTCCACCTGAGGTCAGTTCTGAAACTTACGTGAAGGGCGCTTAGTCAGAAAGCCCTCAACACCCAGCACACATCCGCTGGACCTAATCAGGCTCGGCTCTAATCGGCCTCAGGCGACCTCACGTGGTTCTAAGCCTCCGTCTTATGAATCCAAATGTTAAGGATCCCTGACTAAAGGCCACAGTAAAGCTCTCAGGAGGACTGCCCCACCCCCGGCCCTTGACACCACCATGGAGCCTCCGCGTTCAGGAAGAAGCCCACCCTGGCAGGTCTGAGGAGGGAGAATGGTTAACAGCCCTGACAGACGAGCTCTCAGAGACTTCAATTTTGTGTCTTGGCTAATATTGTTCTAAATAAATGGACCTCTGCCCTGCACTGAGCAGGAATATGAAGGATGACATTAATACTCTGCCTCAGACACCCGTTATCATGCACAAAGTCAGGTCCTTCTTTCCCATCCTCCTGGAACGGGGGTCACCACCAGGACCACCCACCACATATTCATGCAATTCTGCTCAGGCCCATCCTTGTGGGGTTGCCATGGCAGTGGCTGTGGGACAGTCACAAAGACACCCCCATCCTGTTTGGAGCTCCAGGCCTCGGGTTCTCTCAGGCTTGCTTTGCCACCAACAGTCTACTCAGGTACTCATTTCGTTTTTGTTAGCAAAACACAGGATTTCTATTAAATGTTGGGTGTCATAAAAATGTTGGCACTAAAAGATAGAGAAGAATTTTTGGTTGAATACATAAACATATCCAAGTATTTCTACATATTTCTCTGAATGTAAAGAGTGATATGAAGGCTATCAAAATGTTAACATTAGTTCCCCTGAGGGGTAGAACAGGAGAGAAATAATAATTACATTTTTAAAAATATTGTTTAGTCATCTTTATCTGTCACGCACCCACATAACCGTCATTTCTGCATCATGATTCTAAATCAGTAGCTCTAACTAACAGTACCCTCCAGAAATTTACATGCAACATCAGAAGCAGATTTCATCATCTTTCCTTCCAAACAAAATGTTCTCTTTATCTACTACTGTTGTGTTGTGCCGGTGAGTTGGAACCAACTCACAGCTGACCCTTCCAGCCGATTTTTAGAGGCTGTATATCTCACAGGAGAAGACTGTTCATCTGTCTCTCATGGGCCAGCTGGTGGATTTGAACCAACTGCCTTTGAGTTGGCAGGCAGCACAATCCTCTACCAGTAAGAGACCAGAGCTCACTCCTATGTCTACTTATAGTGTCAAACTTTCCTTGGTTCCCAGATGCAATCTTTCCTTGAGTTTTCTGCTGTCTAGCCCGATCCTTAGACCTTTGGCCACCCTTGCACTCCAGCTCAGGCTGTTCCCACATACCCTCGGCCTAAATGCCTTCAAACTGTCTTTGGAACCAGGCTCCTGTCTAGATGTTTCTAAAGTAAAACTTCAATTCATTAAATCAAGGTACTGCTTTTAAAATCTTTCCATCTTTACCTTCCCTAATGAATAAACTCTAATCCAGACCGATGCTTCCCCTGTCTTCCATGATACAGATTCTGACCTCTCCATACTGTCCCTTCATGCCCTTGTACCAACATTTATACACCAGTTGGCCTGAAGCTCACAGTGGAGAAGCACGCAGGATCATTTTCCACCAGTAAGGATATACTGAATCTTGGAATATTCTGCTCCTTCCCAGAATTCTCCGAAGTCTGTTTAAAATCTGCCGCCTTTCTCCCTCTTCTAAGTACCCATAACAGTTGGCATGGTCTCGGAACTCATACTACGCTTAGACGGTAAATATTTAACTTCTCTTATCCATGCTACTACAGAGAAAATAAATGAAGGCAGAGATTCATTCACCCTCCTGTATTTCTCTCGATTATCTAGCAGTACTTGAGTTCTACAAGGGAGCTCTGGTAGTGTAGTCCTCGAGAATTTTTCTGCTAATCCAAAAGTGGTGCTTCTTTGGGGGTTCGAATCCACCTGCTGTTCCATGGGAAAAAGATGAGCTATCTCCTTCCATGCAATTTCCATCCTCCAAAATCCCCTGGAGACTCAGCTATGAGTTGGTTCTGAATCCAGAAATGAGGTTTTGAGAGCTGACTTGAGAACCCAAAAGTACTTATATAAAGCAGGTATTCTTCTAACATTGTGACTCTGATGTGGGCTGCCACACATTGACAGAGCATCAGAGCAGCCACTGCACTCTAGGAAATTAACTAAGTACCCTATGAATTCTATTTCCTTTTTATCTAATTGTAAACTTTTATGTAGCCAAAAAATAAAAATAATTTGACTATGACAGCGAATACTACACTGTTGGGGTTGTTGTTGAGTACCGAGTCAGAATCCACTCATAGGTGACCCACAAACTGAAACAGATTGCCTATTTTTCTCCTGTGGAGCTGCTGCTGGATACAAACTGAGAACTTTTGAGTTGTCAGCACAATTCCTTACCACTAAGCCATCAGAGCTCCCTAAAATTATACAAGAAGTTCCTATAAAATAATACTATCAGATGACATTTCTGTAAATCTACTTACTAGTAAAGGTTTGAAAAAATATTAAAATATCATTTTTTCAAAGAAAGATGAACTTCATTTCCATAGTCTGTTACATTATCTCTAGAACACTAAATTACATGCAAAATATTGTGTGTCACTTGGTTTTTTTACAATGATTTTATCAAGGCATAAAGTAACACTATTAACCATACTGCTTAGTTGTTCTGAATATTTACAGCCAATTTCATCTTATACAGACTAACCACATACATATTAATTTCTATAATTTTAACATTATGAAAACAACCTATCATCTTTTGTTAGACTTAGATGTCCAGAACAGTTCTAAAACAGTCTTAGTTTAAGAGTTATTTGTTTGTGAAGCAAATTTTCTCAGTACGTTTAGCTTTATAGGCGTTCCTCTTTAAAAAAACAGTTTTCAAATCAACATTCCTGTGACACTGATTTGGAAAGGTAGGGAATGTAGAACATTCAGTAGAAACCTCACAACTTTAATACTTATGTTCCTTGGTTTTAATTACTCCCAGTTTTAGACAGTTCCTTGAAATAAGGTTTTCGAAATAAACTGTTATTCAAAAAGATTATATTAAGATATATAACTTACCCACAAAGAAGTCAGAAATGGCCAAGTTAAGAAGAAAATAATTACTTCGATGTCTAAGATTTTTGTCCACCACAAAAGCTAAAACAACCACAGCATTTCCTAGCATTATAACCAAAGCAAATAAGCTCATTAAAAACATTAATACAGCACAAGTGCCTTGTAGGGAACTCTCTGTACAATTAGCACCTAACATCATACCTATTGATGAAGGAGCTAGCACAGCAACTTACACCTCCAAGACAGTTCTGACAAGTGTATTTTCCAATTGATACCTAAAATACAAAGTCTCCTAAGAAAAACAACATTTTTAAAATCTAATGCTGATCTCATAGTACTTCCTGATTCTGATCAAGCCAACTTGTGGCAACAGTTTCCCTTTAACTGATACTTAACAAGTATTTCCAAAAAACAGCGAAATGTTTTATCTTCCACATTTCAATGTGATTCATTTGTCCTGTATTAATAGAAAAGTGTTATGTAATATATACAAAATACTGTATATATTGTATTGTATATATTTTGTAATATATATAATTACAACACTGTATGTATTTTGTCTATGTAATTAAAAACTGTGTATATCTAATATAAACATTGTTAAAACATTGTATATATAATAACAGCATTCCTGTGATACTAATTTTTAAAACAATGTAGTTTCAGCTAAATTTTTCCTTCTGTTCATGATGAAGTAATAGGAACTGGATTTATTGTCCTGACTGCAATAAACAAAAAACACCTAGATAAAATGCAGGATATAAGGTTTAGGGGAGGGTTGTTTGAATATATTATTGTGTTTTAAGTGATAGTTTACACAACAAATTATATTCTCTTAACAAATTTTATACAAATTGTTGTGTGACAGCCGTTTCTCTTTTGTCTATGTGTCAGCATTCTCTTACTTCACTGTCTGTTCCTTTTCCATTTATCTAGTCAACCTGCTACTGTATCAATCTATCTCATCTGGGATCTTAAACATGAACAACTTGGTCTCATAAACTTGTTTAAGGAAGCATATTATTCATGCTGTTGTTATGTGTTGTCAGATTGCTTGTGACTCATAGCCATTTTCTGAACAACAGCCCTAAACCCTGCTCCATCCTGAACCAAACTCACTGTCTCTGACACACCTACCTCCACTACACTAGTCATTGAATCAATCCATCTCATCAAGGGTCTTCCTCTCCTGGGCTGTCCTTCCACCCTCCCAAGCATGACGTCCCTCTCCAAGGATCGATCCCGCCTTGCAACATGCCCAAAGTATGTCAGACGAAGCTTCAGAATCCTTGCCTCCAAGGAGCATCATGGTCTCTCTCTCTCTCTAGGACAAACCTGTTAGTTCTCTTTAACAGTTCACGGTATATTCAATACTCTTCTCTAGCACAACAGCTCAAAGTCATCAATTTTCCTTCTGTCATCTCTAGTCATTGTCCAGCTCTCTGATGCATAGCAAGTAATTGTGAAAACCATGTTCTGGATCACCTTTGTCTCCAGACGGCATTGTTACTCTCCAGTACTCTGGGCTTTATTCATAGGCAGTATTATTTCTTTCATAAGCCAATCAACTATTTAGTTAAAAGATGACCTCTGAGAGAGCTGTAAATTCAAAAGATATTTTACAATAATAGTCTTAGGGCTTCTCTAAGGTCCCACTGGTCTAGGAAGTCTAGCCTTTTCTCTAGGACTTTGAATACTGTTCTACATTTCCTCCTATTCTACCCAGACATGATATTTTGTCCTTGGTCAGAAAGTATTACCATCTATTTCTTCTGTTTCTGGCTAGAAGAGGCCTTGGATCATGTGGGTTAGTATCTTCTTGGAGTCTTTTGTTTCCCTTCATTCTCTTTTGCTCCAAACAAGTAGAAATCAATAGTTGTCATAGATGGCCACTCTCAAAATGCTAAGACCGTGAACACTACTCACCAAAGTAGGATACTGTTATTGTTAGGTACCTTGGGGTTAACTACTAGTCAAAGCAACCCTATAAGAAACAGACTTGAAATCTGCCCCATCCTGTCCCACCCCTTAAATTTCTCTTTGGAGGCTAGGATTGTGAAGCTTTGTCTCACATCCTTTGGGCATGTGACTAGAACAGACCAATCCCTGAAGAAGGACACCATACTCAGAGAGTAGAGGAAAGCACAGGAGAAGAAGACTCTGGATGAGATGGATTGATACAGTAACGAGGGCAACGGGAGTAAGTGTATTGGAGTCAGTGAGACTGGCTCAGGACAGGGCCGGCTTCACAGCTGCTGTACATAGGTTCGCTATGAGTCGCAGGCACCTTGACAGCACATAACAACAGCCCCACTCCTCACAATCTTAGCCATGGTAAGGGAGCTCTGGTGACCTAGTGGCAAGAATCTGCTCTGCAATCCTGAAAGTACATGGTTCAAATCTACCAGATGCTCTGCTGGAGAAGGAGGGACAATCTCCTCCTGTGCCAGTTGGATCCAGTTTGATGGTAGACCAAATTTAAAAAAAAAAAAAAGTACACAAAACAATCTTAGCCATGGTGATGCCCATTATTGCAGTCACTGGGTAAATCTATCTTGTGGAAGGCCATCTCCTCTTTCTCTAACCCTCCACCTTTCCCATATGAAGTGTTTTTGTAAGGACTAGTCTGCCTGAAAGTGATGCTACCAAGCCAAAGGTGAGTGATTTTAATCTGTGGCCCTCAGGCCTTGTTTTAATTGTTTTTGGTCACACATTCTTCTACGTGGTATAACACTGGTCTGTCCATTTGCTATACAGAAGTAACCTGTGGTTGCTGCGATGATGAACACTGTGACACTGTTGTGTCAAATGTGATAATGGTTACCAATGGTGGACAGTGTTTGGTGGAGCTCCCCAATTAAAATAAGCTTGGAAGCAGGAGTGGCGTCCACTTCCAAAATAGCTTGCCTCCAGAAACTCGATGAACATGGAGAAACAATAAAAGTTATACAAGTGTTCAGGCCTTTCGTTCATAGAGTCACTATGAGTCGTCTATGACTTGACAGAGCTTAACAACAACAGCCTACCTGACAAAATGCCCTATGTACATGAGACAAAGTCTCACCATCCTTGCTTTTGAGGAGCAACTTCCTCCAAGACAGACTTGTTTGTCCTTTAGGCAGCTTATGGGACATTCAATACGCTTTTCCAACACATTTAAAGGCATCAATTCTTATTCTGTAATACTTCATCCATTGTCTAATTTTCAGATGCACAGGAAGCAACTGAAAATATCATGGCTTGAATCAGGTGCACCTTAGTCTTTAAACTGACATCATTGCTCTTCAGCACTTTGGAAAAGTCTTTGACAGTAGGTTTCCAATAGCAACACACCTTTTGGTTTCTTGACAGCTGTTTCCATGGGTGTTGATTGTGGATTTGAGTAAAACAAAGTCATTGACAACTTCAATCTTTTCTCCATCTCTCATGATATTGCCTATTAATTCTGTGGTAAGAAGTGGATTTCTGGATGTTCCAATGTAATCCATATTGTAGGCTGTAGTCTTTGATCTTCAGTAAGTGCTTCAAGTCTTCTTCAAACTGAAATGAAAGAAAAGTAAAACAAGTCCATGAGAACAAAAAAAAACAAGCTAATCTATTTTAACTGAATCTACAAACATCTCAAGAAGATCTATGATGTACTGAACTGTAATGACTAAAGATCAGTTAGAGTTGTGTGATACCACCTACAAAGAGAGCCAGGATCCTTACACAGACAGGAAAGAATTGTTGGCAGAAAAGACTCTTAAACTTGCATTAGAACATAAAAAAAGCCAAGATAAATGGAAGAGATGCATAAGTAAGAAGTTAAATAGTACAGCTCAAGAAGACAACACAAAGTATTATAATGAAATGTGAAATGAGTTGGAGGTTTTGTCCTTCTTGTATGCCGTCGAGTTGCTTGCAACTATAGCTATGATATGTATACAGCTCTGAACCCTGCTCTAACTTACTGTCTCTGACACACCTACCCCATTACCACAGTCACTGAATCAATCCATCTCATCAAAGTCTCCTTCTCTTGCACTGTCCCTCCACCCTCCCACTCCAAGGACTGGTTCCCCCTTGCAACATGCCCAAAGTATTTCAAACAAAGCCTCAGAATCCTTGCCTCCAAGGAGCAGCCTGGCTTCACTCTCTCAGGGACAAACCTATTTGGTCTTTTAGCAGTTCATGGTATATTCAATACTCTTCTCTAGCACCACAGCTCAAAGGCATCAATTCTCCTTCTATTAAGCCCTAGTCATTGTCCAGCTTTCTGATGCATAGCAAGTAATTGCAAAGACTATGCCCTGGATGTGGTGCACCTTAGTCTCTAGTCTGACATAGTTGCTCTTCAGGACTCTGGCAAGGTCCCTGACAGCAGACTTTCCCAGTGTTCATCTTTTAATTTTCTGGCTGCTTATACCAAGAGTGTTGCTTGTGGAGTCAAGCAAACTAAAGCTGTTAGCAATCTCAATCTCTTCACCATCTACCATGATACTGCCAATTGGCCCAGTGGTGACAATCTTTGTTTTCTTGATGTTGAGCTTCAATCCATATTGAAGGCTACAGTCCTTGATCTTCTGCAGAAAGCACTTCAAGTCCTCCCCAGTTTCAGCAAGCAGGGTTGTGTCATCTGCATAACGCAGGTTGTTGATGAGTCTTCCTCCAATTCTGATGCCACATTCCTCCTCATAGAGCTCAGCCACGTGGATGATCTATTCTGCATATAGATTGGAAAGGAATGGAGACTGAACACATCCCTGGCATCCAAGATGCTCTTAAAGAATTGACAGAAAAACAAGACCCCAGGAATTGACAGCTTATCAATTGACATATTTCAACAGATGCCCTCAATGGACTCACTAAGTTGTGCCAAGAAATCTGGGGGACAACCACCTGACCAACTGACTGGAAGAGATCCTTATTTGTTTCCTTTCCCAAAAAAAGTGACCTGACAGAGTGTGGAAATCATAGAATAATATATAGGCAATTATGAAATATCTGCTGAAAATTATCTAAGACCAACTGGAACAGCACATCAACAGAGAACCGTCAGATGTGCAGGCTGGGTTTAGAAGAGGCTGTGGTACAAAGAGATATTATAGATAATGTTAGATGGGTCGTGGCTGAAAGCACAGAATACCAGAAGAATGTCTATCTGTGTTTCAGTGATTATGCAAAAGCATTTGACTGTGTGGATCATAACAGACT